CCCCCCCCCCCCCCCCCCAAAGTTGACTGCTCGATCCGTCCCTGTTCTTAACTCGTATTTTCCAAGTTCAATGAATCATCGAGCTCGTACATTTGTAACGGCTCACAGTGCGACACATCACAACTGCGAAATAGCTTTCTCCAGGTCCATTATATTACCAAGTTTGGACCTTGCACGTCCTACCTCATCTGAGGCTATAGTTTAGAACATTCGAAATACCGATGATTAACCATAGTTGCTTCAAAACCCTTCTTGTGGTAACAAATTTGTTTCGGTGTAAGAAGTACGCAGTATACAGCTCATCTAGCGCTAGTAGTATTTGTTTAATGTATCGCTATCAGTTCCAAATGTGTATGAACATTACGATTCAAACATCAAAATATTAGGCAAAGTGGAAAGTGTAGATAAGTTTGTACAAAAATTTTTGGTGACTACAGTGCACTTCGTGCTGTTTTAGACTGTAACCTGCTTATATCCATAACTATATGTGATACAAATGGAGTCAACAATCTTCATTTTGCTGCTCTAGAAGAAGACTACAGTTGAAAGCTGGATGTTTGCAAATAAAAATTGTAAGTTCAAGGGAAATATACTTTTATTGTTACGATTAATATTAGAAGTGCGAAAAGCTCTAAAGTAAAATGATTGCGTTGATAAAGTGTATTTCTAAGTATCACAGTAAGAGATTTTAATAATTATTGTAGAAATATCACTGGATGTTACTTGGAGGAATAAGAGACAACGTATCTCGATCAACTTAAAAAAACGGAGGTGAGTTTCTTTCAAGTACCTTTTCGGAGACAAAAAAGACTAATATAATGTGTCGGAACTACGTTAAACAATCTATTGCATAAAATAGATTTGATTTTCCTGCATCAAATTATTAAATATTTTAGTTTTATAAAAATAATTGGATTCAACAACAGTTGACAAAAACGTTCATGTTAACAGTAAAATTTTCTCTACTACTTTCTCTTGCTTTTGAGGTGTTTCGTCACGTTTGTTACTCTATCTATGGAAACAAAAGCATAGCTATTTAAGACTCCCTCGGGGCCATAGGCATGGCCCAGGTGACGATGGCACTCATGTGACGAAAACTACCACTAGATCTTTTGACTGCTAATGTAAAAATTGTTTGGCATCTTGTCAACGTGAAATTCATTTTATTTTTTTTTTCCAGTTGTTGTGTCACGTGAAGAATAGCAACTTTCTTCTATGTAAAAAAAAATTTTGTTTAAAAGTTTACCACCTAAACGCAACAATCACTGGGTTGGTATTACCATAGCATTTTCTGAAGTCTTGATCAACACTTGCTGGAAATATTTGGAAATAACATCTGCAATGGAGGTTGATACGAAGAAACATGAACGACGCTGTGTAAGTGAAAAGCCGCCTTCAAGTCCAAAGGAATTTGCATGTAAAATCTGCGGTGTAAGTTTTGCTTACAAATCTTCCCTCAAATCACACAATTGTATTCCTATTCAAGAAAAGCCATATAAATGTGAAATTTGTGGCAAATCTTATGGTGACTTATCTGTTTTGAAAAGGCACGGTATTGTCCACACAGGTAAAAAACCATATGAATGTAAAATCTGCAACAAATCTTATACTCACTTAAGAAGTCTGAATAAGCACACACATAACCATTCAGGAAAAAAACCATATAAATGTGAAATCTGTGGCAACGCGTTTGTTAGAATAAGTGATCTAAAAGTACATTCTCGCAATCATGATACCGAAAAACCACATAAATGTAACGTCTGCGGAAAATCTTTCATTAGTAATTATCTTTTGCAAAGGCATAATCGTGTACATACAGGCGAGCGACCCTTTAAATGCAACGACTGTGGTAAGTCTTGTTCTACCAAACATCAGTTAATAATCCACATTCGTGTTCATACAGGTGATAAGCCATACAAATGTAAAATGTGTGGCAAATCTTTTGTTGGATCAACTCATCTAAAAACACACGCCCGTACTCATACAGGCGAAAAACCACATAAATGTAAAATTTGCGACAAATCTTTTTATCAATCGAATCATTTAAAAATACACGCTTTTATTCATACAGGCGAAAAACCACATAAATGTGAAATCTGCAACAAATCTTACATTCAACTAAGTAGTCTAAAAACACACGCTCATACCCACACTGGCGAAAAGCCGTATAGATGTCAAATCTGTGACAAATCTTTTGTTAAAAAAAGACATCTAAAAGTACACTCTCTCAATCATGATACCGAAAAACCACATAAATGTAACGTCTGCGGAAAATCTTTCATTAGTCATTATCTTTTGCAAAGGCATAATCGTGTACATACAGGCGAGCGACCCTTTAAATGCAACGATTGTGGTAAGTCTTTTGCTAGCAAAGATTATTTAATAGCCCACATTCGTGTTCATACAGGTGATAAGCCATACAAATGTAAAATCTGCGGCAAATCGTATTCTCGAATAGTTAATCTAAAAATGCATACTCGTATTCATACAAACTGATAAATCTGATATACTTATTTAAGATTTTGGAATCAACTTAATGGATGTAATTAACGATGAATATTCCGCTTTCTCATCATATTTATTAAATGATCTGCATTGAAAGTGTATACGGTGACTTAACTATCGTATGTTATACTCTTATTTAGTCGCATTTTATCTTGTTTGTAAAAAAGGATAAGTTGCTGTTATAGTATAGTTTTTTGGTTACGATTGAAGAATTTGTGTTAAAAAAACGTCTGCCCCTGCATAAAACCTTAAAAATTGTTCTATTCAAGAAGAAGTGTACAATAAAAATCTACAATACTTCGACTAGCTGAGAATTATTAGCTACTAATATTTTAAATTAGGTGCTTTATATTGGAGCTTTTTATTTGTACGGAAAATTCATGAAACTCAATTTTTTTTACTTGATTAAAAAAAAATCTAATGCAAAGTAAAGTTATAAAATTTTCTAAGATAAGTAATTTTGATTTTTAAATAAGTTAAATTATTTATTTAATTTAACGTTGGAAAATTAAGTGGAGAAACAAATACGATTAATATTTTTTTTTTGAGTAATAACTGAAGTAAAATGACAGATGAAATCGGAAAATCTCGTTTACTTCTCTAAACTTAGAATATTTAAGCAAAATCATACGCTGTTCAGTGCAGTATCAATTCTCATGGTTAATTTACGATACCCAACAACTACGTGTCGAGTTGAGTACTGTTTATACTCACAAATACAGTAAAAGTTTCCTTTTTCTTTATTGTCGCCCNATATAAATGTGATATCTGCAACAAATCTTTTGCTCAATTTTATAATCTGAAAATGCACATTTATAACCACACAGGCAAAAAGCCATATAAATGTGAAATTTGTGGCAAATCTTTTGCTCAATTAAATAATCTGAAAATGCACATTTATAACCACACAGGCGAAAAGCCATATAAATGTGAAATTTGCGGCAAATCTTTCGGTAACTTATCTATTTTAAAAAGGCATGGTACTGTTCACACAGGCGAAAAGCCATATAAATGTGATATCTGCAACAAATATTTTGCTCAATTAAATAATCTCAAAATGCACATCTATAACCACACAGGCGAAAAGCCATATAAATGTGAAATTTGCGGCAAATCTTTCGGTGACGCATCTGTTTTAAAAAGGCATATTGTCGTTCACACCAGTAAAAAGCCATATGAATGTGAAACCTGCAACAAATCTTTTGCTCAATTAATTCATCTGAAAATGCACATTCGTAACCACACAGGCGAAAAGCCACATAAATGTAAAATCTGTAGCAAATCATTTGTTCGATCGAGTTCTCTAAAAAGGCACTTACAGACCCATGCAGTCGAAAAACCACATAAATGTGAAATCTGCGACAAATCTTATACTCAATTTAGTCGGTTGAAAATGCATACTCGTATCCATACAGGCGAAAAGCCATATAAATGTGAAATTTGCAACCAATCTTTTTATCAATCAACTCATCTAAAAACACACACTCTTATCCATACAGGCGAGAAACCATATAAATGTGAAATTTGCGACCAATCTTTTTATCAATCAACTCATCTAAAAACACACACTCGTATCCATACAGGCGAAAAACCACATAAATGTAAAATTTGCGACAAATCTTTTCTTCAATCAACTCATTTAAAAATACACATTCGTACCCATACAGGCGAAAAACCACATAAATGTAAAATCTGCGACAAATCTTATACTCAATTAAGTAGTCTATATAAGCACATACATAACCATTCAGGAAAAAAACCATATAAATGTGAAATCTGTGGCAAATCTTTTGTCAGAATAAGTGATCTAAAAGTACATTCTCGCAATCATGATACCGAAAAACCACATAAATGTAACGTCTGCGGAAAATCTTTCATTAGTAATTTTCTTTTGCAAAGGCATAATCGTGTACATACAGGCGAGCGACCCTTTAAATGCAACGACTGTGGTAAGTCTTGTTCTACCAAACATCAGTTAATAATCCACATTCGTGTTCATACAGGTGATAAGCCATACAAATGTAAAATCTGCGGCAAATCGTATTCTCGAATAGTTAATCTAAAAATGCATACTCGTATTCATACAAACTGATAAATCTGATATACTTATTTAAGATTTTGGAATCAACTTAATGGATGTAATTAACGATGAATATTCCGCTTTCTCATCATATTTATTAAATGATCTGCATTGAAAGTGTATACGGTGACTTAACTATCGTATGTTATACTCTTATTTAGTCGCATTTTATCTTGTTTGTAAAAAAGGATAAGTTGCTGTTATAGTATAGTTTTTTGGTTACGATTGAAGAATTTGTGTTAAAAAAACGTCTGCCCCTGCATAAAACCTTAAAAATTGTTCTATTTAAGAAGAAATGTATAATAAAAATCTACAATACTTCGACTAGCTGAGAATTATTAGCTACTAATATTTTAAATTAGGTGCTTTATATTGCGGCTGTTTATTTGTACGGAAAATTCATGAAACTTAATTTTTTTTACTTGATTTTTTTAAAATCTAAAGTAAATTAAAGATATACAATTTTTTAAGATAAGTAATTTTGATTTTTTATTAAGTTAAATTAATTGTTGGTTTGTTAATACGTCGTAATTTAACGTTGGAAAATCAAGCAGGAAATAAAGAATACAACTGATATTTTGTTAAAGTGATAATTAAAGTAAAATGGTAAATGAAATTAAAGAAGCTGGTTTAATTCAATAAACTTCGTATATTTCAGCAAAATTATATATTGCTCCGTAAAGTATCAATTCTCATGGTAAATTTACGATACCTAACAACTACGTGTCGAGTTGAGTACTGTTTATTCTCACAAATACAGTAAAAGTTTCCTTTTTCTTTATTGTCGCCCTCCCCCCCCCCCCCC